GTCTGCAATGCCTATGAAGAGTTTTTCTTCTAATGGTTTATCATTTTTACAAATTTGATGAAAGAGGATATTAATGCATTCTAACACGGCTTTGTTTGCTATAGAAAGTTTATCTCAAATTATTAGTTGAGCTACATTGATTAATTCTGCATGTGTACTATTTGGTTTAATACTTGATTGAATATTATTGTTATTCTCTTCTACAGATATATAGAATAAGAAATGAGCTATACGTCTACCTTTATAAAGAAGGGCAGCTAAAGCAGTAGTTTTATACAATAAAATAATGTCTTTTGTAGCACAAATTGTATAATATATGGCATTAATTAAATATGTTTTGCTGCGCCCTGCTTTTCCGTTCAAAAATATTGGAAATTTGTTTTTTGAGATTGGTTTATTTTCTTTTTTCTAAGATACATATTTTATTATTTCTTTATAAAATATCATTTGTTCTAAAGTCATTTTATTATATAGTATTCTAGCAAGTTGATCATATCAAGTATAGTCAGAATAACACAGACGTTCTGTTATTAATTCTTGAGTCTATTTTTAAGGTTCTGGAAGTCCATAATCATGCATATGCTTTCTGTGTTCTATAAGCATTGAGGCTATTTGTTGAAGTGTTAAATTGATAGCAATTTGTTGATTATTATTTGAGTTTTCTTGATTATCAGTTAAGTAATTTTTTATAAATCGTTGCCATAGATCAAAAGCAGGGGCTTCGTCTAGTATTAATTATACAAATAAAAATCATAACTGTGCTGGTGTATGAAAATTATCAATAGCTTCTTTCATTATTAATATGCTTTTATTTTCATTAGAGTATAATTCTATCTCACATGCTGCTTCTTGATATGTGTTATATATATTTCCATTAACTATTTTAAGTTCTTTCCATGTTCAAACAGTTCGATGCATTAGAATGCTTCTTAAGTAAAATATTTTATCAGCTCCTGGCACAATCAAGACAATTCTAATAATTTTATTTTCAGTATATTTTCGTATAATTTTGGTGAAATACTCAATATACTTTAAAAGAAACTACTTTAACACCGTTTACCTTTTCATGAAATCGAAAATGCCCATATTGCTTAACAATATTGCTTATAGAAGAACTATCTGATTTTTGTTGTAATAGTGGAAAATATATTATACCTTTTCTACCACCTTATTCAGCAAATATCAATGAAATTATAAATAATTCAAACTGCAGCAACCTTTTCCAAAAACTTAATACTCTATTTTCATTTATAGCGATCAGTATACAAGGTCAATTCATAAGTCTCCCAGCACTATCTTTAGTATGTATTACTAGATGCATCTACCACTGCATATTACCATTAAACACCCCTAATCACTCAATATATTGGTATATTTATAATGAACAAGAATGATACACAGCAGCACAAAACCATAAAATTCTAAAAGAATGGGTTTCAACTATTCAATCTATATTAACACAAACTAATCCTTATATGCATTTACTACAAATGTTTCAAAACAAATCTTCCAATGATGCAATACTTGAGCTATATGAAAATACATCAACAGAAAAAATTGCAGCTATCATACATGCTAATAATACTATAACTATTCATCTACATAGTATTACTATTTGGCACTGTAAAGATACTATACCCAAATTCATAAATATACTTAGTGCACAATATGAACTACTACAATATCCAATACTTTTTCCCTATGGTACTCCAGGATGGCATGCTAAAAATCACTATAATTTATCTCAAATCGATTGGTACTGATGTCGCCTATTACATGAAAAAAGATATTAATATTTGGGAGGCTAATATCTGAATATTTAGTTGATATGTATTTATGCATGGAAGAAGAATGTTTAAATTACATATTAAATAAAAAAAAACTTTAAAAAAAAATTGTAGCACAAGAATCAGCTAATATAATAAATAAAGATTTTGAAAATAAAACTGATGAAAATAATTAAACTGATCTATACCTCCCTGCATCTTTTTTAGAATCTAAAAGATAGTGCTCTTTTCATGTTACAAATGCTCTTGCTTTTGCTCGTTGTTGAGAAAAACCAAGCTTTTTCAAAATAATGACCACTAACCCAAATTGAGATAAAATTAAATTACAACTGTGATCTGGTCAAAATGCATTAAAAATTGCTTCAATAATAGTACGTGCATTTTATTCATATTTAAAAAGCTAAAATATTTATTATGCACT